TTAGAGTGCGAGAGTGTTTTGCGCCAACTCTCGCAATGCTGTTTTAGCGCTAACACAGCTCGCTATTTTAGTCATCGGAATGAGCATTCTCGGTTAAAGAAATAACATTTATGATAACTGTAATATTAATTACCTGACACAAGTATTCAGTTTTTATATATTACTGATAGGCTTTATTCGTAGACTTTCTTAGGCTATGAAATGTAAAAATAACCAAAAACTCCATGATTCCTAAGCAATGTACAGATAAAACTTTACAATTTTATTTGAATAGATGTCTCTTTCCGACTTACAGAAAATACTTGTTTTTAAATCATAAACTAGTGTCTGTTAAAATCAGGAGTCCAGTCTAGTAAGTGTGTCCGGTCAGAGTATGAATGCGAGGTGTGTGTGAGATGACGAAGCTACAGTCGCGTTGCAGGGCCGGGCAGAGCAGCTGGGCACTGGAGCTGCGCTATGTGTGGGGGGGGGGAGGGGGAGGGGACCGGAGCGCGAGAGAAATAATGATAATTTCTTTAAATAATTATTCCGATACAACCATTTGGCCGAATTAATATCTGAAAACGGCAAAATTCTTTTAAAATTTCTCCTTACAAAATGACTACCTGCGATTAAAAAAAATAATTACAGCAAAAAAAAATTCTTTATAAAACTTTTTTGTAAATACATTTTAAAAAACATTAGCAAAATAGTGTGAATGTCTTATTCATATCATTTACAAAACAAAAATCTGATAATAAATACGGAAATTATAAGTGGTACAAATTTGCCGCTGTGCTGCTATCTATCGGGCCAGAAACACAACTTTTTCAGGGATGTTTAGCCTTAAATAATACCAGTGATATGAGACACTCTAAATTTGAGAAAGAAAAATAAACTGTTTACTGAAAGTTAGGTTGATAGTAAATTCTTGAACATTGACAGATTTTAATGATATATTTGTATATCCTTTGTTGATGTTTAAATAGATTAAAAAATGCAAAGATAAATCAAATTGAATATGTAATAATATGATCAGTTAAGCCGTTCCTCTTTAAAATATGTCATTCATTATATATTAAGATGAAACTGCAGGAGAATAAAAGATGGTATTTGGAAAACAAATAGATTGTACTATTTTTTATCGAAACAATACCGTATTACAGATCTCAGACAGGCAATGAATGATGTGATTAAAATTTATACATTTGTGGTCAGAGAGATACTCTATTTTTCCAAGCGGAGGATATGATTGTGATATTTTGTTTATCAATCCTATCCACCCCACTAGCGTGCAATGTCCCGGGAAAAATAGAGAAAGACTAAGGATTATTAAGATCACCAGACTCCCCAAATATATTTTTTTGTACAGCTGGCTGGTTGTATGTTAATGCAACAGGGACTTGTTTGCCAGTGGACTATATTACAGTACCACTGTGATGCTCAATACAAATGGGGCTGATCAACTTCTGAGTCGGATCTTTGGTTGACTGTTTGTTTAATTTTTAAAATTGATTCTAATGGTAGTCTATCCTTGTGATCTTTAATGTTCCCTCCTAGCCTTCGAATGCAACGTTTGCCTCTGAATCTCTCCTCTAAAATCACAATCAACCACTCGCACCGGAATTGTTCCTTTGATTGATCAACAATACAATGTAATACAACAAATTTCAGCTGTGACTTATAATAAAAATTGAACTTTAATATATAATATAAATTTATCTATTAACACAACTATAGATTGATTTCAATTTAATTATCTACACAAATTGTAATTTATTAAACATTTTAAACTTCTCAAATCTCCTATAATAACCTCGGATAATTTGACATTTGATGAACCTAATAAATAATGTACAGATATTGCAATTTGATGAACATGCGGCATTAAAACCGTTACGGACCAACTAGGACATGAAATACGTGAAACAGGCATGTATGTGAAATATGAAACACTTGGCAGATTGGCTTATGCTAAATTAAATCTATATCACAGATAATACACAACATCTACTTACGTACACAGGCCGACCACGCAAACTTACACACTCACGAAAGATTCACTCACGGACGACATTTAAAACCTGACTAGTAGCGGTGTCAACCGAGCGAAATTTTATTGACAACAGTTCGTCACAAGATTCAAGATTCAAAGAGTCTTTATTCACACAGTACAAATTTTCATACATGAATAGTGTCTATTGTTACTTACTACCTAAATTAGCAATAAGAAACAGTTAACCATTACAAAATACTATACGCTACATTATTTAAAATTGAAATTACTATAATCTTCTTGTAAGGTTCAAGGTCAAGTAAGAATGCCTTCAGTTTTTTAATAAATTTAGATTTGTTTTTTTGTTTTTTAAAAAACTACGAAGTTTTCTAAAAAAAATAGTTTCCAATATAAGAAGGTTGTTTTTTTAAAAAGTTCAAGTCTTTGTTTTTCTTTAACTAAATAATTTTTACCCCTTGTATTATAATTATGCACAGGTAATTTTTGAGTCTCAGCAATATTTAAAAGATATTTAATTGTTTCAAAAATATATAAGGCGTGAACTGTAAAAATGCCCATCCCTTTAAAATAAGATTTGAAGGACTGGTTATATTTTAATTTATGTATTAAACTGATTGTTTTTTTTTTTGTATTTTCAAAATCTTTTTTAAATTCTTTTTCTTTGTCCCACCATAAATACTAATTCCATAGTTAATATGTGATTCAATATGAGCATGATATATCATTTTAAGGACTGGTCTTTCACAGAGATATGACACTGTTCTTAGGACGAATATACCAGAATTTAGTTTTTTTATTAAATACTCGACATGTTTATTCCAGCTTAGATCCTCATCTATTATCAAACCCAATAGTTTTGAGGTTTTAACTTGAGCAATGGAATTTGTATCTATATCTAACTTGATACTTTTATCATTTTTGTATCTTTTTGTTTTGAAAAGAATGAAATTAGTTCACTACAATTAGTTAGCTAATTAGTTAGTTTACTAGCATTAAGTACTAATTTATGGTCTTTTAAAAACTGATTCAGACTTTTTAATTCTGATTTAGCAGACATTTCTAAATCAGTTAGGGATTTCCCAGTTGTGTTAAGATTAATATCATCTGCATATATACTTATCTTACTACCTGGGTCATTTAGAGAATTTAGAAGATTTTTAAGGTAACATATGAATAAAAGAGGACCAAGAATCGATCCCTGTGGGACACCAGATGATATCTTTGATAAATTAGATCTATTTGGATTCATCTTTTTGGATGATGTTATTTTTTGACAAAGTTGATATTTATACAAATTGGCAACGTTCCTCTAAGTATGATTTAAACCATTTGAGAGTGACTCCTTTAATACCCAAATTATCAAGTCTAGCTATTAATTGATGGTGGTCTACATTATCAAATGCCTGGGACATGTCCATGAAGATGCCAACTGAATTTAAACCCTTATCTAGTGAATTTATCACTTCTTCAACAAAACTAACCGCTGATGTAACAGTCGATCTACCAGCACGGAAACTATGTTGTTCTAGATCATACTGGTTCAAGAAACTGTTCAACCTGTTGTAAACTGACTTCTCATATACCTTTGAAATTGCCGGGAGAATTGACACTGGCCTGTAGTTTGAAATATCTTTCTTAGAGTTTTTCTTATAAACGGGCACCACTCTAGCAATTTTAAGCTCATTTGGAAAAATTCCTGTTACAAATGATGAGTTAATTAGGTGCATTAAAATGAATTTAATCTCCTCTTTCACATCTTTTACAATTTTTACTGATAAATTGTCATAGCCAGATGTTGTTTTATTTTTTAAAGATTGTATAATAGTTATTAATCGATTCTTAAATTTTCAAGCTGGTGTGATTTTAAATCAATTAAAAATCCGTCATGATAATTTACAATTGAATGAGAGGTAGACATTTGCGACCAGTTGGACGCATGTACAATTTTCCCTCACGAACGCAACATCCATCCGGTAATTCGAAATCAATTCAACTTATTATAACCACAGCACTTCAAACAGTTAGCAATCCGATAAACTATTGACATTTGCTGTCGTTTCGACGCACGTACAAATTTCTCCCGAACGCAATTTTCCAAGCTACGAATAAGATATTGATAACATGGTCTGAATACCAGTGACACTACCTACATGGTGTCTCTGCTCCAAGTGCTGGCTTAACGGTTTCCTCCTCGCTTTCAAACTTTTGGTCTTTGTCCTTTGTATCACTCCGCGTTTTGTCGCTGATTGGACCATTTATCTGCCGTGTTTGCCGCGGATTTTGAGCGTATGAATTCAAAATCGGTGCACTCTGCTCACCTATATATTGCATAAAAGTACACTCTTTGGTTGGTATTAGAGATATATCTATTCTCGATACCACCAACACTTGGACATTGGTATCAGTATCGAGAATCAATCCTCAAAGTCTGTTCCAATATTCCGAAGATAGTAGGATCGAAAAATTATGATCAGAGACAATGATGATGTTTACATGGCCACTGGAGATGAACAGAATTTTGCCGCGATCGCGGAAGACGACGATAATGTCTACAGTTTACATGACCACAGGAGATGTTCATGGTTTTGCTGCAATCAGGCAAGACGACGATAACGTTTCTGTGACGGTGGGAGTTGATGATGATGTCTACATGGCAGCGGGATATGATAAGAATTTTTCTGCGATCGCAGAAGACAGTTATGATGTTTCCATGACTGAGAAAGATTTTCAGGATTTTGTAGTGATTCCAGAAGACGATCATGTCTCCATGACCACAGGTGATGATCACCATATTACTTTGATTAGCTTGACTGAAAATATTAGGTTGGCACACCTCTTCTACTTATAATGAGATTTGAGATAATGAGTTTTTTGTTGGATCTTCATTTACCTTAGATATGGTAGTTATTAGTGAGCAGCTCAAAAATGTAAATGTAAATCCCCATCAAGAATACTTATTAAAATATGTCATTAATGCTAATAGCTTATGTGTTTTGAATTCTAGGAAGAAACTCTTGCCTTTCCATGTAATGAAGAGGAATCTTCTCTGGAACCACTATATGTAAGTAATAAGTATATTGTGGTTTTCTACTGTGGTTAAAATTCACTTTTACAAAGAAGCTTGGTATACTGGACTCAAAACTATTACAATCTATGGATAGAATTTGTAGTTCAAACTGTCATTGAAGAATGAACAACACTTATTTATGAGTCTGAATCATATAAACATTTATTTTACGTATTGTAAGAATAAATTACTTACTTAATCCCATCACAGCTCAATAAAATATGTCAATTCAGGACATGTTTCGGTGTTAAAACACTATCATCAGTTTCTGGTATGTATGTAGAGTCGATTAGTAGTTATTTAACATCGTCAAAAGATAACAGTACAAAATGACACAAACAAAATTACAAATAAATACATAAAACAATGAAACATTGAAAAAAAGGCCTGCTCTAACAAAAGACCTACCGCACAAGTAGCAAGGAGGAGACTAGACCAGCTTTGTCTATATTTATCAACTGTATGGGAGAAAAAGAGACATTTATTTTACTCCAGTTTTCTATTCTTATCTATATATTAATAGGCAAGCATGTTTCTTTGAAACCTTTTTTCTCAGCTCGTGTGCATCGCAGGGAAAATCTACGCACATCATCTGGTTGATCTATCACTGGAGCATTTCTTGAATATGTAAAAAACTGTTGATTTTAATATTGAAGTGGCCAAGCATGGTCAACAACTAAAGGCTATTAGATGTTGTTGGATATTTAAGTACAATATCTAAGGTTTAAAAGGTTTTTATTTGCACATTGCAGGGTATTTTATTTTATATTTCTGTAACCAAACAAATTATATATTTTTTAGTTTTTACTAGAGTTATTAGAATCGAGGTCAAGATTTTATTTTATTGTAAGCAATCCAATCCTTTGAGTTTTCATTTTCTATACGCTCACCTGTAGAATTGAACTTTGATCGGGATGTTCCCCTCCCCTGACCGGCTAGATAGTGAGCAGCGTTGGGTTAGATGTGCCTTGGACATGGTAGTGACCACGTCTTTCTCTCAACGCTCTAATTTTCTCTTTTTACTCTTTTACTCTTGTATAGTTTATTCCTCTAAATTCAGTGTAATTATTGTGATCATCTCAACACCTCGTCCGCCACACCATGAAGACTACCAGACTGATTGAGGGCCCTCACTTCGCAGCGACGTCTCAGCATGGAACTCTCTACTCACGATTTAATTGTACAGGTATTTTTAAATGGTCCTTCGGTTGCTAAAAATTACCCACAAACATTTAACATTTGATCCGGCTCGAAGGACCAAATGTTAAATGTTTGTGAGTAATTTTTAGCAACCGAAGGACCATTTAAAAATACCTGTACAATTAAATCGTGAGTAGAGAGTTCCATGCTGAGACATCGCTGTGAAGTGAGGGCCCTCAATCTTTCTGGTAGTCTTCATGGTGTGGCGGACGAGGTGTTGAGATGATCACAATAATTACACTGAATTTAGAGGAATAAACTATACAAGAGTAAAAGAGTAAAAAGAGAAAATTAGAGCGTTGAGAGAAAGACGTGGTCACTACCATGTCCAAGGCACATCTAACCCAACGCTGCTCACTATCTAGCCGGTCAGGGGAGGGAACATCCCGATCAAAGTTCAATTCTACAGGTGAGCGTATAGAAAATGAAAACTCAAAGGATTGGATTGCTTACAATAAAATAAAATCTTGACCTCGATTCTAATAACTCTAGTAAAAACTAAAAAATATATAATTTGTTTGGTTACAGAAATATAAAATAAAATACCCTGCAATGTGCAAATAAAAACCTTTTAAACCTTACATATTGTACTTAAATATCCAACAGATGTGGTGATTTAAGGTTACTACTACCAAGCAGGAAAAGTGTCACAATCTAAAATGTCATTGAATATCCGAACCTGACAAGAAATTTATTATCTGTGCGTTGAATTGAGCAATAGGGACATTCTGTAATATTTTCAGAAAATATGTTTTCTTAATTTTTATACTTTAATACTTTCTTATGAAATGGCGACCATACCATTATATTGTATATTTTTAATCCTATATACATTTACAATGTAATTGGAGCATAAAAGTTTTGTTGAAACATGGATGGACCAGAACTGAATATTTGTTAGGCTTATATGAAGGAAACGAGGTTTGTTATATTGAGTATAGGTTTGTAGGGATTTCGCCAAGTCGAGGTTCAGAAACAGCACCGGTCAATAAGTCCGCATTTGACCTCATTAAAACACAATTAAGTAGCATAGGCTACAATACTTTACAGTACAGTATTGGCATTGTAAAGTACAACGTCAATTATCTGGGATAATAAGGGAGAGGGAGACCACGGATAGTGAAAACCACGGTTAATCCAACATAGTATTGAAAAAAATTATGACAAACCCATGAAAACACTGTAATACTGTGTATACAAACAAAAAATAGTCATCAGTCCCCAGCTAATGAAATCAGTTGTGCCTTATGACATAGCGCACAGTAGACAGATGTGTAAAATGGAGTAGGTGATTGTCAGTGCAAGCGTTGACGTCACCTTTCTATTTCATTTTCATCAAAGGAACTGAAATTTTTCTAAATTAATAATGTGGTCGGTCCGTTATATCGAGGGAAAGACACAGACAATTTGTTAGGTAGAGTTTGAATTCGATTCTGACAATGATAACTTCGTTATATGGAGGTGGGAATCGACTGGGACAGTGGCGTCATCCTGTAATTCAGCTACTAGAAAGTCACGAATTGTGGATCGTTATAGCATGCACACGTAGATGCGATACTCCCTGGTGTGGATTAACTTCTTCACTTGGGACAAAAATGTACCCCTAACAAAAAGTGACCATTACACCTGTATGATTTTTTTCACTTGTAGGTAAAGTGGCAAGATATTCTAGAGTGGGCACTAAAAGCAGAGAACCAAACACCGTGTGTGAGGGAGTGGATAGTATCATATGGCGGAGTGTGTAGGTTAGCAGCCCTGCTGACACGTCAGGACCCGTCGTACAACATCCTGCATAACTGTCTGCGCAACCTCCGTCAGATCAGTGAGTGGCAGTTAGATAGTGATTAGTGCTTTATCTAAGTCATCAGCATTTCTTATGTTTTTTGGGAAAGGCATGATTCATATACTCTTATTACTACCTAACGTCAACCATTTTGTTAGACAGCATCATTAATTGCCCACTACAATATGGACCACTAGAGAGTGCAGTTGAGGGAGGAGCCTATTTACCATGGGACTTCGAAGGAGCCAATGAGGAATGAGTGTTGTTGCCAAATCTCTCTGATCTAATGTTAAAATTGCTGATTTGAAAATTTTGTTAAGTATATTTGAATTAGTGGCACCACGTCCTGCAATGGCGGCCGAGTGGTACTCAACGGGCAATGTTGCAGCGTTGTGCTAGTCCAGTCTTGGTATTGGCTGCTGCCAACTACAGACTCTCGTGGTCCGTACTGTGATGTGTCAAAACCCAATGCCAAATCTCAGAACTACCAAGACTTGGTTTTGTATTTGAGATTCGATCGGCAAGTTTCAAGGAACTCAAAACTCCAAACTAAAACTGCTGACATATTTGATTGTTTATAACAGAAAATTTGCCGTAAGGAGATTAATATTTGAACTATTAAACCACCTACACATTACACCACTACTATTATAACTGTTATTATATTTCAGGGTTTGCTGTTAATGAAAAATTTTATTTTTAGCGCATTTCCCTATTGGGAAGTAGCTATTACCGTAGGTCTCACGGTAAGACCTAGGCCCGGGACCAATTTACTCTTTCATTTTGATGTCCCCATAGGCCAAAAACACCATCCGTTCATAATGTTTTATATAAATACATACATAACATTTTGAACGGATGGTGTACGGCGTGATAAACTTGAATGAGTCCACAAACCACCATGGGAACGGGGTTTTATGGGGTGAAAACGGGTTTTTCTAATTTTTGACCCTCAAAACACAAAATTTCCCAATTTCTTTTTAGACCAATTTTGAAGAGCTGAAAAGACAAATAATTTAGTATGTTAATGTTTTTTTATACGCTTATTGGTTACGTATTAAATAAAAAAAAATTGAAATCAAAAATTTGTATCTTATTCTTAAAAGAGAATTTTGTAAACTGTTGTAGTTTTAAACATTTTTGTTTTTTTCTGCCCCTGAGCTATAAGACTTAATAAATGGTTTTAAGTTACCTTTGTCAGTAGCTCAAATGGTCGTTAAAACTCTACAACCAGGTTTCGATGCTGAGTTGCACCATGATCACGTAAGTCAGCAGGATAACTTCTTGCTCACATGTCGGTCAAATTGACGTCGTTAAAAAGCACCGGACGAGTTCATCTACGGGGGAGGAAGCACAAAGGACGAGTCCACTATCTCGGTTATCAGTAACCTCAAGGTCACACCACCGCACACGGTGCCGTCTCCAGTCCTCCTGCCGCCGATAACCGTGACGGGCCCGTTCGATAGTTTGATCTCGTTCGTAATATGTTTTGTACCTGTTCGTGTTTAATGTATGTGTTTTTTACGTCCTGTATTGTGTTTATAAACTTTTTAACGACGTCAATTTGACCGACATGTGAGCAAGAAGTTATCCTGCTGACTTACGTGATCATGGTGCAACTCAGCATCGAAACCTGGTTGTAGAGTTTTAACGACCATTTGAGCTACTGACAAAGGTAACTTAAAACCATTTATGTTGTAGTTTGCTTGTTTATGGATATATTTTTATCAAACTTGGTAAATTTATTAATTTATTACAAGTCAGTATTAAGTCATCAGATTTATAGTAAAACAAATCCTTAGTACCAGTTGCAAATAATTTGACTTAAGCTGGCTTGAGTCCATGATCAACTCGGACTCAAAAAATCAGTAATTTTCTGAGCCAGGTGATGGCCGAGTTATCCAGACTGCCGGGTTATCGAGTGCCGAGTTTGCGGGACTCTACTGTACTTGTTAAACCTTTGTTATTTAAATAGAATAAATTGAAAATCAAATCAGGTACAAAGAAATTTACTTAGTCTGCAGGTTTGCTGCGGCGGGGGTACTTTAGGTTTAAAGTGTAGTTACATATTCATGTTATTATGTCAGGGTCAAAAATGTTTCTTCCAGTTTTGATTGCATAATAAACATTTTATTATTATTTGTATTTGTTTTGTAAACCTTAAAACAGGCAAGTAAAAGTTTCACATTAAGGTTTTGAAATCTGGGTTCAATGTTTTTAAGTTTCTATTTTTTTTTATGATTTTAAATTTATCTTTTCGGCCATCACTAATGCCCACTAGACTACCCAGACAAATTGTGTTGGTTTGTGAAATATGCTGTGTCTGCCCTTGTTACAGATTGGTTGACTACAGAAGCCCTTGCTGAGCTAGTTCGTCGTCTTCGCCATAATCTGGGGGATTTGTCAGTGTCAGAGGAAGTAAAGATTTGCTCATCCGACTTGCTGCATGCAATGCTGCAAAACTCTGCCAACCACAGCCTACTAGCAAGGTTGCCAACACAAGATCTGTGTACTACACTACTAGAGATGTTTGTTGCTAGCTTGCAGAACCTTCCACACTTCCCTCACTGTTGGCAACACTGCTTGGCCGTACTGTCACACACTGATCTCTGTTTAGCTTCTGTGTGTGAGACTTGCATCGACCTTCTAGTTTCTGTAGTCAAAACGAGGTTAGTACAAAACTTTTACATTTTAGCGAATTGCTTAAATTATTATGGCCTAGTTGTTTGAGTCTCAAACTTTGCTGCTAGTAGTTTTGGTTAGATTTCTCATAATACTCACATGACTTTTAAGTAGGGATGGACGGGATTGAATTTTAAGTTCGGGACGGGATTTTTATTTCCTTCCCAATTTTTGGGAAGGGATGGGATTTTTTCTTGTGCAAAAAAGGATTTGTTTTAAAAGACTTCAGTATTGCAGTTACTAAAAAATAAAAAAAATCCATTTTTACTGTTTGTGGTACTGATATATAAAAACCAATGATGGGTAAATATAGAAAAAGTGTTGTGACTAAATAATGTCATATCTGGTGAAATTTATTGTAAAAAATCAGTCTCATTATAAAATACCTTACAGGTATTGAAACTGGCTGCATAAAAAAAAAACTGTGTAGAGTTTTTACGGCCTGAATTAGTTATGAGATGAGTGTATCAGAGATAAGCTGATAAATCATAGTCAGGCTATTTCGAAATTTCTCAATGTAAAGTTTGCAAACACCTCTAAGGACATTAATTGCATACCTTGTTTAGATACTGCATCCAAGTTAGTGAATAATTTTATGATTAATCAAAGAATTAATTTCAAATTCAGACATGTATCTGTATCAGAAATTTAAACTACAATAAAAAAATAAAAAATCAGTAGGATGGAATGGGGTTTCAGTTGAAATAATAAAAAATATTATGAACTTTATTGAGGAGCCACTTTGTCTGATTTTAAATCAATGTTTTGATGAAGGAATTTTTCCATACCAATTAAAAAATGCTGAACTAAAACCACTAGAAAACCCAGAAAACTACCGTCCCGTGTCAATTTTACCATCTCTATCAAAAATTTAAAAAAATAGCATATGAACAAATGTACTCTTTTTTTGAAAACAATAATCTGTTTACAGATAATCAATTTGGCTTTAGATTAGAAAAAAAAACACAATATCAGCTGTCTCTGATTTCATTAATCGTGTCAAAAATTGTGACATCATGGCTTGGACTAATCTCAGAGTATTGCAGCAGTGTTCTGTGATCTGTCCAAGGTGATTGATTGTGAGAACCATAATGTATTAAGTAATAAACTTAAATATTATAACTTCTCTGATCTGGCGCTGTCTTGGATACAATCTTATTTAAGAAACAGGCAACAAAGAACTGTCATTAAGAAAAATGGTAGACATTTCATTTCAAAATGGCAAACCATCAATTGTGGTGTACCCCAAGGATCAATTTTAGGTCCCTTGTTATTTTTAATATTCATTAACGATGTTCCTAACAATGTATCATCAAACCTAATATTATATGCTGATGACACTACAGCCATAGTAAAAGCAAAATATGTACATACTCTTAGATTAGAACTTGATCATTCAATTGTAGACTTGACTAACTGGTTTGCGGCAAATGGTTTAAAGCTTAATAATTCTAAAACACATATTATTCAATTCCAAACACTACAAAATAAGCAAAACATAATTTTTGAATTACCGTATAAAAATGATATTTTAGCTTTTGTCGAACAAACTACATTTTTAGGCTTAAATATTGATAAAAATTTGACATGGAAACTTCACATTGAAATACTAGCTAAAAGATTACATACAGCTTGTTTCCAGGATGTATGTTATAAGAAACATAATTGATTCTAAAACAAAGCTAATAGTTTATTATGCCATATTTTTTCCATTATGCAATATGGTATTGAGTTATGGAGCTCAACATCATATGCCTCAACAATTTTTAAGATAAAAAAGAAGTTTTTAAGAATCTTATCATTTACACACCAAAAAAAAGTCATGTAAACCGCTTTTTGAAACATATGGAATTTTAACAATGCCTTCACTTTACATTTATAAAATTCTAGTATACTTTAAGAGTAATCCACAATTATTTATAAACAATCAATTTATTCATTAATACCCAACACGTTCAAAAAATAATTTGCAGTATCCAAGACATCGGCTATGCGTTTACGAAAGATCACCGTACTATATGAGTCTGAGGCTTTACAACGGTCTACCTGCTCATTTTAAAAACATCAATAATATTGTAAAGTTTAAATTGCTGAAGAATTTAATTTAATTTTAATTCTTAGATTTAATTTTTATTTTTGTTAGCTAAATAATGACAATGTCATCTGTTTCACCAGCTTTGCTGGAAATGTGAAATCTTTTATGACAATAAAGTGATATTATTATTATTATGAGTAGAAAAGTAGTTTAGCTTAATGAATCCTAAATTTTTACATGTGTAGAGCGATATTGCTACCTAAGACAATAATGTGAAACATCGTGAAAAACACAATATCGTGGTCACGGCACAATGGTCGAAATGACTCGAGGTCACGGTGCGATCGTCAAAATGACTTGCGGTCACGGCGCGAACTTCAAAATGACCTGTGGTCACGGTGTGATCGTTAAAATGACTTCGTCTCTGCGTTTGCGGAACTATCATGACCTCTCTCGCGATAGCGGCGTCATCGTCACTCGCGAAGCGGCAAAATCGTCGACGATCGGATCAAATCCCGTCCCGAAATATTCACGAGTAAAATGTAACCCCGTCCCGAAAATGAGGAAATTTTTTCCAAAAAATTTTCCAAAATTTTGGGACTCGCCCATCCCTACTTTAAAGTGATTCTTCCCTAAAGATTCTTCATACAAAATTCCTGTGCATTAACAGAGCCTAGCATAGATATTGTTATTAGCCTAAAACTAAGATATTTCTTACATTTAGAGGAAATCGTTGGAACCGTTTTTGAAATCATTGTGCGTGCAAACGTTACTCGTATTATGGTACAGGATATATATATTCATAAATAAAAATTTGAACGAATAGTGTTTTTTGGCCTCTGGGGACATCAAAATAAAAAAAATTAAATCAGTCCCGGTCCTAGGTCTTTCCGTGACACCTACGGTAATACTTTATACTTTTCAATGAAATGGCGACCATACAAAGTAGGTATTTTAAGCCAAGTATGAATGGAGATGAGTGTAAGATGAGTGGTGATCTTGTAGTCTTGTTAGTGACTAAGGCCGACATATTCCTTAGACACACCTTTTAATTAATAGCCCATACAGCTAATGGCAACTAAGGGACCTACAGTTTATAGTGGAATCTGAACCACATTTTTGCCTTGGTATTAAAGAATTAGTCTAATTATCAGGATAGTACGTGAGTCGTAGTGCTCACTAGTGTGGACGTTAATTCACACCAGGGAGGATCGTATCCACAGTGCATGCCTATAAATATCCACAATTCGTGACCTCCTAGTACCTGGATTACAGGACGTCGCAAAAAATAAACAGCTTCTATGGACAAATAAATAAGAATGTAAAATATTTTTCAATTAATTTAATTAGATCAAAAGACCAAGGGTTGACTTAAAATTTAGCTGAGTTGATAACCTTTTTTCTAAGTTAAATTTCAACTAATGGGAAACTTTATTTTCAGTAACTTTTATTACCTTTCATGACTTATACAATAGTTATATGTGTAACTAGTGAGAAAAGTCCATTTGCGCTTGTATAACACATCATATTTTTCCTACAGTCACTATAAAGCATATAAACAATTAGTCTTTCAAACACTATACAACACATTTTTAGGTTGGATTAAACCCAAGCGTTGAACGGAATGGGAAATACTACACCAGCTGATTGTAGTTGTGGTTAAGTGTTACTTATTTTCAATAGTACGGGTGTAATAATCAGTATAAACAGAATAAACAAGTAATTTTGTAACCTTCTTACTTACGCACCAAGAAGAAACAGTTTGTATGCTCGTCCATACTTCTTCTTGATTTTTCAGAAAACAGGTTTAATGAAACATGTTTTGCAGTTTCTGCTATATATTTCTTCTGGTGTACACATATATTCACAATCACTGAGTTATTATCAAACATGTTAAGCCCAATTATAATTATTCTTTCAAATACTAAACTTTGGGTTGTGTTCAAACCAAGCGTTAAACAAAAATAGAATATAAACACAAAATGACAGGTTAAATCCTAGTATCAATAGTCAATCAGCTAACCGTCTCTCTCGTCATAATGGGTAAGTTTATTTGTAATTAATATGTAGGAATAGGAATAAGTTCAAATTATGGTTGGCTAAGTCAGGAAACAAACGGGAGCCCTTCTGGCTCACCCGACTATTGAAATGTAGGAAATCACAACTTAGTAGGTTGGGTGCCTTCTGCACCCAACGTTCTTAAACATGAAATATTAAACCTCATGTTCCCAGAATGTAACTTAATGGTTATCAATCAATTCATACATATTTCACATTCAGTATTCAATTTACATATCATTCATTAAGTCATCAATATTAGTAAGAATTATCCATGTTCAGTTCATAGTTGGAAGGATAGGTTCACAGTTAAATAGTTAGTTCAATTAGAGTAAATCAAAGCTGGCTAGGCAGGTGTTCTGATCTGGGTAAAAGGTCTCCGTCCCTCTGGTCCCCAGCAATCTTCCTAGTTTTATTCGTAGCAGATTCAGCACGCTTAAATTAAGTTTGGTCCAGACACACCTAGTCCTAACCTATTAGCATTACCCTGTTTATCCCTCCTGATTACCCGAATTCCCTCCTCCATACCATACCATTAACCCCCCCCCCCCCCCAACACCCCAGCCAACGGCCCCCGGCTACAAGTGCAGTATCACCTCTAATTGTGAAGACAGTAAGGACTAAATATATTTTTGTATATTTACACTCAATCTGCCACACACAAGAACCATAATTTAATAACGTTTTCTTTTACGTTGCCAAAACATTGCTTATGATACTATAATCGATTTACATAATATGTAACATGATGTTCCCTATATCCTTTTGAATTTGTAAACATCATCCACAGTCACGGAAAAATCATGAAAATCTTCCTCGGTCACAACAAAATTGTAAATGTGAAGATCTTCCGCAGTCATGGTAAAATTGAGAACATTTTCTGTTGACAGGAAGAAATCGTGAACGTCTTTTGCAGTTACAACAACATCATTATTGTCTCCCACTATTGTCAAATCTGTCAACATCACCTGCAATTACATCGAAATTGTAAATTTTTGATTGTGTATTTTTTCAGACGCTTACTGTGATTGCAATTATAAAATTATTACCAAAATTATTCATGGTCCGAACCGACCTCTGGGGCCAACTGTTGGCCCGACCCAATCTGAAAATATGGGGACAGACCTCATTAATCTATAAGAGCTATCCCAAATCACTTTTCCCCATGTTTATGATTGTTTACAGTACTATGGACGTTGGTGAGAGCCAGCAGCTAGTCAATGTGATAGAGGACCTGGTCATGGCGGGTGCTGGTGGGGAGGCTGCTGGGGCCGCCCAGCTGCTGACTGTAGTGTTGAACCGCCTGAGTGCCCGGCTCCGACCAGCCGCTGAGGCTGTGTGGGGTCTGTATGTTGTCTCTGAGACTGTCACTGGAGGACTGAAGGGATGTTCTGTGCCTTGTAGACAATATCGCTCTACCTCACCCAAAGATCCACTTGCCGCTGTGCCGTTGCAACAGGTGGGTATTGCATTGTTATTGTTAGTATATACCTCATTATGCAAGTGTAACCATTACAAAATAATAATAACTAGTGGTCATCTAGTGGTCGAAAACTCAAACAAAAATATGTAATGTACACACATTGGCTATTGGATACTGAAGTAGACTTCCCATCTATGTGGACCAGCTGTCGCAATTTTTTTTATTTTTTTATATGTAGTTGTGTGAGTCAGTCACAGAATGTGTGTCTAAAATTCTATTTTCTACCTTTTTTGTTGCTAACAAAGTTGGTGGGTCATAACAGTTGCTATAGCTCATTTTAAGTTATTCCATAAGTTTTACTTGGTAAAAAACATTGTGTATTCAACAGGAATTAGTCATTTAGATCAACGCAATATGTTGGTGGCTCACATCAAATACAACAAATTTAATTAAAAACCTGGCGACAAATTTAACATGGGGATGGAATGTCTGGTTGTAAGTATAGGCTTCTCTATTTTCCAAAAACACCAAAAACACCATCCGTTTAAATTCATATATATATATTTATATATGTGTCCGTTAGCGCGATAACTCGAGCAAAAATCATCCGATTTTGATGAAATTTGGTACAAACGTGTAAACCTACATTTATTCGAACGAGTTCGCGAACCAGCATGATCGGACTATGGGAACAGGGGTTTATGGGGCAAAAATTGGTTTTTCCCATTTTTGACCCTAAAAACTTAAAATTTAGCATTTTCTTTCCAAACCATTTTGTAGAGCTTTTCTTCTTTTTTTTCTTGTGGGGTTGGGGTAATAGCCTACCCCTAGCTACTTCGGCCTGGAGACCTATTGTAGCACCCTTTAAATCATTCTGACAGCCCTAAGCTTCTCAAGTAGCCCAGGAGCTGAAAGACACCCAGCTTCCTTATCTCTGTTGGTTCCAGAAATAACCTCCCCAGAGATGTAAGCCTTCTTTGGGCCAATGCTGGACAGTCCAGCCATAAGTGTTCTGAGGTTTCTACTTCGTTCTCGCAGAAATTGCAGAGGTCTGTCTGTGACCTACCTATGGTCCTGAGATGTTTCCTGATAGGACCGTGCCCTGTTAACACTCCTACTAGTAGACTAATGTCCCCTTTCTTAAGGCTCAGCAAGCCTTTCCATCCTTTATCAGTGGGGTCAATTAGTAATTTAGACGTCCTCATTCCTGGGTAGTTTCTCCAGGCCAGAGCCTTTTGAGCCTTGACCCAGTCTTGGACTTTGGCTACTCCTGAGCTTATGGGGGTACCACAGTAGGGTTCTGGTCCTGACAGTTGGTCCTCCGCACCCTTACTGGCCAATGCATCGGCTTTTTCGTTCCCCTCATGCCCCGAATGTCCAAGAACCCAAGACAATTTGACTTGGTTCCGCTCTGCTAACATTTTGAGGGTGTTTTTGCACTGTTCGTGACTGTGTCACACATGACCCCAGCGCCTTCAATGCTGCCTGGCTGTCAGAGAGAATAAGGATTCTCCCCTTTCTTAGATTCTTGCCAAGAATATTATTAGCACAGCACTCAATCGCCAGGACCTCTGATTGAAATACTGTTGTTGTTTTGCCCAAGACCAGGGATGTTTGGTTTTATTACCATACACTCCCAACCCTGATCTCTCATCCTTCCGACTTCCATCGGTGTAATAAACCAAGCATGCTCTGTCAAAGTTGAAGTTACACTGTTGCCAGTTATCTCTTCCTCCTATAGCAACTTGGTAAGGAATCTCGAAGTCGTATTCCTTTGTCATGAGGTCTGGTATACTTAGTTCCATGTCCATGCTTGGGAAGTCCCTTAGGATGGACAGGTGACCAGACTGCCTCTGTAGATTCAGCTCGCCTCTGCTTCCCATTTTTAGGGCAGATATGGCTTCACATTTCTTGAATTCCAGCCCTAGTGGGAGCATGTCGAGTATTGCCTCCATTGCAGATGTGGGGCAGGATTTCATGGTCCCACAGATCCCTGAACACGCCAGCCTTTGCAGCTGCTGCAGTTTCCTGCCAGCCACTGTCTGCTCTGCCTTAGGCCACCATACTAAGGCTGCATATGTAACCATTGGTTTGACTATGGCTTCATAAGTCCAATGTATAAGTTTGGGACTAAGTCCCCATTTCTTGCCAAAGGTTCTTCTGCAGGCACCAAAAGCTCCTGTTCCTTTTGCAAGTACATAGTCAAAATGCCTGCTCCAGGTCAGTTTCTGGTCCAGGTAAACTCCAAGGTATTTTGTTTCCTTCACAAGTTTCACACTTTTCCCCTGAATTTTCGGAGCTGTTAGGTTTGTTCTCCTTCTCGTAAAGGAGATTATCTCTGTTTTGTCAGGGTTAATTGTGAGCCCCTCTTTGGAGCACCGCCCCTCAATGAAGCTAACGGCTGTCTGGGTGAGGTTGTTCACTGTGGCTGCGTGTTTTCCTCTGACAGTCAGCACTAGGTCGTCTGCAAAGGCTTGGAGGTCCATGTCTCTCCTATCAGCCTCTCTCAGTAGATCGTCCACCACAAGAGCCCACAACAAGGGTGAGACAACTCCTCCTTGTAAACCTACGTTTATTCGAACGAGTTCGCGAACCAGCATGATCGGACTATGGGAACAGGGGTTTATAGAGATTTTATGGGGCAAAAATTGGTTTTTCCCATTTTTGTCCCTAAAAACTTAAAATTTAGCATTTTCTTTCCAAACCATTTTGTAGAGCTTAAAAAAACAAATAATTTAGTATATTGAAGCGTTATTATGCGCCTAATGGTTACGGAGAAAATTCCAAAAAACTGTAAATTTAAAATTCCCATGTTATTCTTATGAAGAATAAGTAAACTGTTGTAGTTTGCTTGTTTATGGCCATATTTTGATCACATTTGGAAAATGCATTCATTTCATACTAAACTACTAACATTTTACAAAAAAACCCCTTTTTACCCTCCCTGTTGTAGCAAACCTAAGTACTCGTTAAACTAATTGTAGTGTCATTCATATGCCTTTGCATTTAACATATGTTTTATAATTTAGTTTGTTGTTGTGGTGACGATGACTCTTGTTGAATAATAAACACATTCTTTACTTACAGCATTTATTAGAATTTTATATTATCTTACATGGTGTCAGGTTGTGAAATAAACATTTAAAACATGTCAAGACCTAACAAGAAATCTTCTAGAAAGTAAAAAAAAGTAAGAGGACGAGTTTACAACTGAAGATTCTGGAGATGAGGCAGTTGGTCCACGACATAGAAGTAAGTTTCAAATAGGCTCTGATAAATCTATGAAAATGATTAGTACCCAATCAAAAGCCAGCACCAATAGTGATAGGTCTACAGGCACTACTAAGTGCTCCTGAAATATTTGATTTTACCAACCCAGCTATGTGGCCTTTATGGATTAAGCGGTTTGAACGTTACAGGCAGGCATCAGAGTTGTATCTAAAACCGGACCACCAGCAAATAAGCACCCTTTTATATACTTTAGGGCAGGAAGGTGAAGGTCTTTTTGAAACGTTTGGACTAGGCGAAGAAAAAGAGTTAAGTTATGAGGATGTAGTAAATGCCTTTGCGAGGTACTTAGGCCTTAAAAGAAATTTGGTCTACGAAAGAGCTAAATTTCTAAAACGTAGGCAAAGTGCAGGTGAACCGGTGGATGCTTTTGTCAATGACTTGCACAAACTCGCGGAAAGTTGCGAGTTTGGACAGCTCAAGGACAGTTTGGTACGAGACTTAATTGTTATTGGTGTTCATAACCAAAACTTATCAGAGTCTCTACAATTAATGAGTCATTGACCCTTCATAAGGCAATCACAAGAGTGCGTCAAGCAGAGGCAATGTCTAAACAGCAAGCTGTAATTAGAGATAAACCATCCAGGGAAGATGTATTTGGGGTAAGTTCAAAACCTTTTGATAATAATAAACGTGTGGCTCAAACTACTAAAACATTTTCCTGTCGTCGCTGAGGAACAACTCATGGCCCTCGGGAATGTCCTGCTTTTGTAGAAAAGTGTTCCAAGTGCAAATTTCGTGGTCACTTTGCAAAATGTTGTCCAAACAAACTAAAGGAGGTAAAAGAGATTAAGGAAGTTGACTCAGACGATTTGATTCATTCAAAAAAAGGATATTTAGGTGAAGTAAATTTTAAGCAGGGTGAATGTCTGAGTGTAGTGGTAAAGGTAAATAGTCAACCAGTAGAGTTATTAATTAACAGGGGCGTCAGACTTAATTTTGGTCAAAATTTTGGATTTTTAGCTTTTTACTGTTTTGAGTTCTATGACTTTTAAGCTTTAATTTAATACCTCATTTATTGAATTCTGACAACTATTTCATATTATACAGCTAAATATACAAATGAATGCAATACGAAATTAGAACGCTCTTGGCGCTCGGCGTTGTAGTAGTCACTTGCTATAGTGCTTATTTTCGTTTATACGAATATTTTACTTTCCATGTTGGTAGCACTGGCTTTCCTTATTCCCTTTTTCTAGCTGCTGTCTGTACTGCAGTCAGCTGTATTGGTAAACAAACTTGTTTCTCTTTATTTTATAATATAAAAGTTACCCTTCTTGTTTCTGTGTTTTGTTTGTGATTGTAGTGAGTTACATTACAACAATGCCTAGAATTCAAGTGAAAAAACGGAAAAAAGTGTTTAGTGGCGTTTCCAAGCAACAAGTAAAAAAGTTAAAATCAGTTCAGAGTAGGCCTAACTCAAATGATGGACCTATTGAGAATGAAGGTAGGCCTAGTGTTCCCAGTGTTAGTGGACCTGATGAGAATGAAAACAGGCCTAGGTCTAAGACTAGTTCTTCTAAGAAAAAAGTAGCTCCCAGCTTAGTGCAATATGAAAAATATGAAGTACATGAAGATTGCAATGATATTGTGAATTTGAAGAAGTTTGAAACTTTACTAACAAAGATTGCGGTTTGTACAGAATGTGGTGGTTCGCTCTCAATCAATACTAAGAACAGATTTGGACTAAGTGTAAATATTGTTATTAGTTGTAATGAGTGTGGTTTCCAGGTTTCTTCAAAAAATAG